GTACAGTATATAACTTCTTTAGTGATCAAGATGATGGATCCGAGAAAAGAAGAAGACGTTCAACTCGAGATATAAAGCGGCCGAAATTCGACGATGAATTGGTTGATAGCGGAGTGGCAAAGCTGACGTCGCCTCGAGTGAGTCGTATAGCTTTCCTTTTTGTAGTTGAATCCATCTCCCTTTGCTTATTTTTGTGAAAGTACAAATTGGGGTTATCTTAATGTTCATTACCCTCTGGATAACCTAGACGCCGATGTACGAAGTACGCGATACGTTACGTCATCTATCAAGAGGTAGATGACGTGTCGTTGACGTCACACTGACGAACACATTAATGATGTGTTTAGCGATAAATTGATGATTCAAAAAAAATAGAAAGATTACCTCGTCGTTAGAGATAAAAAGGGCGCTCACTTCCGTGGACCCGGTCTTTTCTATGTGCAGGATGAAAGGGTTCGCAGCACCAGTAGCGGCCACTTTCACGCTCAATGGTACACGGCAACGGGGTTGGGGTGGGTGGAGTTATACCTGGTTGCATCTCCATACTAAGGCCGCTAGCCACGGGGCTAGCCACACACCTAACCGTAGCCAAGCACGCTACTTGTCTTCGCCCTCTCACGTCTGCTTGTTTTCTACGGCTGAGTAAGTGTTTATTTGTGGGGCCCTGGTGTCGACGCAAGTTCTACACCTTGAAGATACGAGAATGACACGCTACTGCAGCTGCGGACCCATCGCACATGGCGAGGACCGCCTTTGGAGGTGCATGTACATTTTGTGATTATCACTATTTTGATCTTAGATGTTAGATGACTCACCATTTCCTAATTTTCTGGTTGATGGATCTCCACCAGTGAAGTAGTATGAAATGAGATGAGCGGTTCAAGTAGCGTCTACGATAGCCTGCGACGGTTGGGCGTGTTTGGCGCGGTGCCAAACTCGTTCTCCACCAGTTGTTGAAGCGGGCAAGTGACAATACTGTATCATATCCTTCGTATTACTCGTTTTCTACCACTTTTTGCTTCAACAAGAAGGCAGAGAACGGCTTTCGAACAGTGTGACACACTCAGTCAACTGCGCCTGACACGGCCCAGGGGACTTGGTTTGGCGCGGCGCCCGCCCGTTTCCCACCAATTGTTGTTGCTTGCCCGCCTCAACAATTGGTGGGAAACAGGCTGGCGCCGAGCCAACCCATAACGACTGACACGCCCCGCCGTCTTCAGCAAGGGGAATGCGATTGTTCCCGTGCTTCCAGGTCCAGTTCCACTTCTGCTCGTACTGTTTTGTCGCGAATTTATGCGGTGCTTCCCCAAACCAACTAATCAGTTCACATTTTGATTTGTCGCTTATAAAAACGAAAACTCCGATCACTAGAACAGATCAAAGCCGCAGAAGGTTATATTGTATTGATTCCCGATGAATGAGGTCGGAGATTTTGAAATATATCTGGATATTGACTAATATCAACCGCGCTTTTGAAATGCTTCCTCGATGTGGTTTCTGTGTGGATGAATGCCGCTGCAATTCTTTCCTGAGATTTGACCCTGTGTGATCTATAAATGGATTTATGGTAGATCACTATACGGAGCCAATCGTCATGCTTGCCTACCGAACTTCTACACACTGAACTTTCGATAACCCATGATGATTATTTTACTTTTTCTTCGTTTCCCACTTCGATGTTTATTCATTCAGGTCCTCTAAACATGGGCAAGGTTTTCCGTGACCGTGGGGTTCTTTAGTTTCAGAAACGTGTAGGTGGAGAGCGATCAATGCACTCTCCATCGATGAGCTCATCAGAAAATGGAAACCCGAGGTCCCGCCATCGGTCATCCTCAGCAGATCCCTCGCAGAGCTCGGGCGAGACAGAAGCCAAGGGCGATGATACAACCATTTTTGCCCATCCTCAGTCACTTGGAAAAGAAGATAGTCATTCGAAGGTGTGTTAAAAATCTTGGTTCAAAAATTAATAGGGGGAGCTAACAGTGGTTCAGTGCGCTTGTACAAGGAAGCAGCTCAACTGCACGGTTTAAATATTGATGTGGTATTATCAGATGTTTTCTTCCAAACTACCGCTCATATTTGTCAAACTTGCACGGATTTTTGTATTCGTTTATCTAACTACGTCACCGTCCTCACGCAAAAATAAATTTTAATGTAGGCCTGCCTTGGACCTTGTTGGAACGTTGTTGGTTAAAGACATTGTGAGGGTGGAGGTAGGGAACAGCGTTTTTGGCGTGCCCTCCTTTTCCCGCTTTCTACGACAGCTAAGAACGCTAGAAGGGAGGGCGCGCCAATGATGTCGTCTGGCTGCGTCAGCGTACGCCATCGTTTTGAGCGTTTTCGACGTACACCGCGCCCGCGACTGGGAAAGTATAAGTATCGCGTATGCGAAGACGAGCAAGAGAATCGTAATATGTCGCTCCGCCGCGCACCGATGGGCGCGGCGTGTTCTTAACTCGTGTTAGCCTGTCGACTGGACTACCAGATATATGCATCGGGTACGGAAACTGGTAGACATTTACGACTTTCTCCGTTCTTTTGCCTGCTATCTAGGCCGCGTTCATAGCTTGCGTTCGTGAGAAATGCGAAATGCGGAACGTGTGAAAAAAAAATCGTGTGCGGAAAGTGCAGAGTGGTCGGCATCTGAAAAAGCAATAGATACGTATCGACTTGAAGAAATGCAGAAATGCCGAAACTGCAGACGTGCGGAAAGTGCAGAAATGACGAAAAGCATTACATACGTATCGATTTGAAGAAATGCAGAAATGCCGAAAGTGTGGAAAATCGATACGTATCGGTTGCTTTTCTGCACATTCCGCACTTTCGGCATTTCTGCAGATTCCGCACTTCTTCACTTTCGGCATTTCTGCGCATTTCTTCACGAACGCAAGCTATGAACGCGGCCTTAAAGGACCTGAACCGTTCGTCACTGACCGGCGCGAAAGTCAGCAACGCGGCCCGCGCGTATGCGTGGTGACGAGTTGCTGATTCATTCTTGGTTACGTACCATCCGGTATGCCAGCTTACGCGGCCTACAGATAAGCGTTTGAGCGACTGTAAGAAAGTATTAGCGTTACGATCTAGGCGTCCGAGTTACGCCAGGTTCTACAGGAGAGATAGCATGCGGGAGTAGGAGCGGTATTCAGACAACTGTATTAGGGTCGAATTATCCTCGTATGCAACAGCAGCCTTACAACTGATTAGAGCCGGATATATGCACTTTTGTCTGGTACGGTGTAGTGCAGTTGTGCGAGTGCGGCTTGCACGCGCCGCCACATTTTCCGACGCCTAAATCGTTGAGTCGTGCTACCCTCTACCTCTCCATACTCTTACACCTCCATGATACCTGGCGTGAGCTGAGTCGATACCTATACTTCTTAGTCGCTCAAATGCTGGCGTTCGCTAGATCGATACCTACTCTTTCCTGGTCGGTGACATTGGTGTGCTCTCGAAACGCTCAAGAAGCTGGCTTACCCTAACGCAAAGTATGAACGTAGCCTTTCCGCTGATCCCGCACAGTGCCTTCAGGAGCATCGGGAGTCAGATAGTGAACCAGCACTTGTTTTCGTTCTCAATTCATCTTCTGCATCCAGGTTGAAAGCGCATCCGCTCCAGCTGCTAAGCATGCTCACTCGTTGCGACGAAGGCCCACACATAGCGTGGAAGACCGCCAGACAGCTGAAGACGAAGAGGAAGCGGCAAAAATAGAGAAGAAACGTCGTGAAGCAAGAATCGCCCAAAAGGATATTCGATGCAAGGTTGAGAGTTTTTAAAATGCTTCAATCCCTTTTCTAGTATAACGTTCAATTTAACATCATTCAGGAGTTGGTCGCAGCTACAGAAGCTGCAGATGGAATGACATCTGCCGAGCTGCGGCGATGGACAGCAGCAGACGACGTGGCACTTGTAACTGCTGTGACGCATGTGGGTCTTGAATTTGTTGCTCAGCTTGTGTAGTTCTTTGAATCCCGTAGAAGCTCCTCGATGTTGTGGAGTTGGGGGGGGGCTGGTTAAGGCCTATTTTCTATTCGTCTGCGCTTTCTCGGTGAGACAGTTTGGAGAGTTCGGCTAGCGCCGATGGCAATCCAGACGATCATGGACCCTCTACAGAACACATTAACTCTTGGCACATTCTTTAACGGTTATGCTTTCAGGTGCATGATTTGCGCGCTGCGTATGGTAGTATCAAGTTTAGTCGACCATATTCTCTGGAGGACATCGAAGAGAGGTAAGTGTTAAATTGAACTGAAGATCAACTTTGTAGAAGTACGGTCTTTTCTCATCACAGTCGTGTTCCGGGTTATT